TCTATATAATACATAAGACAAGCTTTCTTTGAAGCTTCAACTCAAAAAACACACACAAACTTTTTGGACAAGCTAACCAGGTTGAAGTCAAAGAATCTGTAACTGTGTAAGCATGACAGCCCTCACCTATGACAGTTTGTTGGGATTCCTAAGTCTGCCTACCAAGAAAGGAGTTAAATAAGGCAACAGTACGGAAACAGTTATAAGAAAATAGAGTCACTAAAGACAAAAGCGTTCACAAGAAAACAGGAAGGCTGAAATAATTAAAGAGACTGCAGTCAGAGAAGCAAAGACTGTTTTAGCTTTTAAGATGTGACAGGCAAAGAAGCCATGGGGTAGCAGTAGATCTGTCACAAGGAGAGGTGCGTGGCACACTAAGGTTGGTGCTGAATAGCTGTCACTGATAAAAGTTTTGATGCCTTGACATTAGTCTGGAAGAAGTATGGATCTCACTGGTTTAAGGCTCTGGGCAAAAGCTTACCTATTAACTGAAAGAAATGCAGTTGGAAACAGAACCTGGATATATGTTCTTGTGCTTTTTAAGAGGTGTGATGCAAGCTTGGCACATACTGCAGGGTTGGCAGCCCTACAAAGGCAGTTACAGCATCTTGCATGGTGCCAGTTCAGTGAGATTCACATTCAACTGCTCCAAGCAAAGGAAAACCAATGTCCCAGTGAAAACATGAAGGATGATTAATGTGGGGCATTTCAAGCATTACTAGCAGAAAAAAAAAAAAAAAAAAAAAAAAAAAAAAAAAACATTATGCTTCTTTACCATCTAAGGCAATGCCTTTGAAGAACTTCCTGCAGTGTCAGGACAGCCTGTGGTGCAGAAAAATTATTTTCTAGCCCTATATCCAAGTGCCAGGCCCCAAAGGTACAGTGGCCCTCTAGAAGGGGCATAATATTTTCAGTGCTGCCCTAAAGGAAGAAGATACAAAAAACCAGAACTGCACTAAATATCAGAAGCTTTCTAGGATCTTCCCAAAGCAATGAAAGAGGCTCACTGATAGAAGCATCATCAAGGTCTGAGATGGAAAGAGAAAGTGTAATAAGGTGTGTAAAAAAAGAAAAAAAGTCCACAATACTAAGAGATTGTACCAGATTTAGCAATAATATATCATGTTTTAAAGAATGGCCTAAACACTAAAGCATATGGACAAATCCTGTGCAGTTTATTATTCATAAACTGATAGTTCTAGTGATATTTTTTCTTTAAAAATGAAACAAAAAGTACTGTAATATAGTTTGAACTCCTACCTGTAATAAAACATCCTTGCACATTTGCTGCATAAGAATGGCCATGAGAAGCTGGATTGATCTTTGTTTACAAGAGTTTGTAATCACCAGTTATAATTACAGGTCTCAAAACCTTACAGCTTTTTGAACAAAGAATATAACGCCTCAGTTACAATTCCAGAAGCACATCTTGGATTATCTACAAGATAGTATATCTATTCTCCATACTTTTTTTGAGCCAGCTATGGAATAACAACAAAACATGCTTACATGTTCACACCAGACACTGAGAACTACAAAAAAATAAATAGTAACAAAGTTTCTAATTTAACCTACCAGTTTGTACCTCGCAATAACACAATGAGAAAAATGGCTTCATGAAACCAAGATTATGATTAGCACCTGTTAAACTCTTAAGGCACTCTGAGGAAATATCAGTCCTGCTACTCTGAAGACTCCTAAAATGGGGTCCAAAACAGACGAGTATCTCTGCTCATGAAGGCAATGCAGATGCAGAAGCTTGCCCATCAATCTCTTTCTTGAAACCTACAGCAGTGAACCCCAATTTAAACTACAGTACAATATTGTGAAGCAAGCATCCTCCACAGAAAGTGTTATCTGCAATATATACAACAGGAAATACTAACATGTCTAAAAGCATTCTTGCTGATAACTTATTATTTCAGTTTTGCTTGTGTTGTTTAGATAGGGAAATGCATGTGAAACTGGTGAGACCATAGCTAGTTTGCAACAGTGGAGACATGCCTCTCATCCTGAAAGGTAATAGAGAACCATTCCACCTGATCTGGAAGACAGGGACAGGGAGCAGAATGAAGCCCCCATAACCCAAGGGAAAATGGTCAGTGACCTGCTACACCACTGAGACACACGCAGGCCTATGGGGCTGGATGGGATCCACCCAAGGGTACTGAGGGAGCTGGTGAAGTGCTCACCAAGCCACTTTCCATCCTTTATCAGCAGTCCTGGCTAACCAGGGAGGTCCCAGTTGGCTGGAGGTTAGCAAATGTGATGCCCATCTACAAGAAGGGCCATAAGGAGGATCTGGGCAACTACCGGCCTGCCAGCCTGACCTCGGTGCGGGGAAGATTATGGAGCAGATCATCTTGAGTGCCATCATGTGCCATGTACAGGACAACAAGGTGACCAGGCCCAGCCAGCATGGGTTTATGAAAGGCAGGTCCTGCTTGACAAACCTGATCTCCTTCTGTGTCAAGGTGACCTGCTTAGTGGGTGAGGGAAAGGCTGTGGATGTTTTTTACCTGGACATTAGTAAAGCCTTTGACACTGTTTCCCACACCGTTCTCCTGGAGAAACTGGCTGATCATGGCTTAGACAGGCATACGCTTCCCTGGGTGAAAAACTGGCTACATGGCCAGATGCTGAGTGGTGGTGAATGGAGTTAAATCCAATGGGTGACCAGTCACAATGTTCCACAGGGCTCTGTGCCAGGGCCAATTCTGTTTAATATCTTAATCAGTGATCTGGATGAGGACATTGAGTGCACCCTCAGTATGGTTGCAGACAACACCATGTTGTGTGGGAGTGTTGATCTGCTTGAGGGTAGAAAGGCTCTACAGGGCTCTGGACAGGCTGGAGCGATGGTCCGAGGCCAAAGTATATGAGGTTCTACAAGGCTGAGTGCCGGATCCTGCACCTGGGTCACAACAACCCCACGCAATGCTACAGGCTTGGGGAAGAGCGGCTGGAAATCTGCCTGGAGGGAAAGGACCTGGGGGTTTTGGTCCACAGGTGGCTGAATATGAGCCAGCAGCGTGCCCAGGTGGCCAAGAAGGCCAACAGCATCCTGGCTTGTGTCAGAAATAGTGTGGCCAGCAGGACTAGAGAAATGATTGTCCCCCTCTATTCAGCACTGCTGAGGCTGCACCTCAAATACTGTGTTCAGTTTTGAGCCCCTCACTACAAGAAAGACGTTGAAATGCTGGAGCACGTCCAAAGAAGGGCAATGAAGCTGGTGACAGGTCTAGAGAACAAGTCTTATGAGGAGTGGCTGAGGAAACTGGAGTTGTTTAGTCTGGAGAAAAAGAGGTTGAGGGAAGACCTTATTGTTCTCTACAACTACCTGAAAGGAGGTTGTAGTGGTGTGGGTGTTGCTCTCTTCCCCAAATAACAAGTGACAGGACAAGAGGAAACAGCCTCAAGTTGCACCAGGGGAGGTTTAGTTTGGATATTAGGAAAATGTTTCTTCACTGAAAGGGTTGCCAAGCATTGAAACAGGCTGCTCATGGAAGTGGCTGAGTGACCATCCCTGGAGGTATGAAAAGATGTGGTGCTTAGGGACATGGTTTAGTGGTGGACTTCACAGTGTTAGGTTGTCAGACTCGATGGTTTTAAAGGTCTTTTCCAACCTAAGTGATTCTATGATTTTTGTACTTTCAGCTTTGCTCCTGAAGGTACTTAGTGGTTTTTCTATTTCTTCAAGTAAACTTGCAAGAGGTCTTCTGAATACAGAACACTACATGATTCTATTATTGTTTATTGCAGATTAACAATCCTTTTAAAAAAAGATCCTTTCCTGCCTCCTAAGCACACATTAGCTTTCAGCATTTCTTCCCAGAGAACCATTGGACATCTTTTCACTCCCACAGTTTTATATTTCATTTTGGCAAAGATAGAAACAAGTCCTCAGTAGAAAAGAACTCAACCAACTGCAAGCCTTCAAAACTCTCAATGGAAAAAAGAAGACGACAACAGGCTTTTCCTCCTCCCTGGTGAACTCCTAGCTACCCACATGTAGCCATATGTACTTTCCAAGTCTCTCTTAGTTTAATTTCCATTAAGTAAAGACAATGTCAGACTCAGCCAGTCTTGTTACAGAATCTTTTTGATTACCCTCTTGTGCATTATTTTAATTTCTGTTGTTCGTATGCTAACATATAAAGTTGAATGAAACCATATTACATGCTGTACATTTCCCACATGGTTATAACAGGCATCTTGCCATCTCCTTCCAATAACATTACTCCATTGATTTTGTCCAAATATCTATTCTCATGGCTCACGTTTTTCCACACACCTGTTTTTGCCCCATCTTCTTTTTGTATTATTCTCAACATTTAACTTATTCTGCCAAACTGCATAAGGGCCTTGTGCAGTGTTTCAAGATAACATTAAAAGGTCTTGTTAGTCTCAGAGACAATCAAGTGCAATCATGTTCATACTTCGAGAACAGTCTTCACGGGGGTCAAGCTTGGAGCTAGAATTGTAGAGATCATATAGAGAACTTGGTCCTTAGTCTAGTAACAGAGAATGTCTAAGTATTCGATATATCAGCATCAGAAAAAATTGTGAGAAAAAATAAGTGTCTGCATATACTACATTTAGGCAATTACCAACAAAGCGATAACCATGGTGGGACAAGGAGTAAACATACGGGAAGCTGAAGATATCAACTTACTTAATGCTTTCAGTGGCTTAGAAATTTTTTTGGTATAGGTTTTTATTAATAACGGCTGCTCTTCCCTGAGCAAATATAGTTACATACATTGAAAAAACTTTCACACCAAAAGCAAACACCTTGGAAGATAAGTGTTTAAATTTTTTTTTTTTTTTTTTCATGAAGTGGGATGATTCACAGTTTGTATCTTTCTCCTCAATCTGGAGCAATGTGGATAGCACTCAGCCTTGTTTGTTCAACACTTGTCTCGAGACAGCTAAGCCTTTACACCCGTATCAGTAGTGTTGCTTAAGCATACTTCTATCCAGCCATTGAGACAACCTACCTGTACCAACAGGGGTGACCACTCTCCCCTGCTATACCCATGACATGCTGTAGCATCATTATCAAGATATCTCACCCCACAAGCGTTAATGCATTTTTTTTTGTCCAGGCTGGATGGCAGCAGACAATATTCTTTTTTACTGTCTGAAATTAAAAATGAAGTATTACCAAAATCCTTCAAATATCACACCAGAAATAATACAAAAAACGAGGTCCACATGTTCTCTGTGTTTAGCAATCAGTGACATCAGACATGTGTCCATCTTATGCAAACACTCTACAGAGTGCCCTCAAGCAGCATCACACTACTCTTTGCTACTCTTAGATGTCAGTAAAGCACCCTGTGAGCCAAAGCATCAGGGCAAAATTTTAATTGTATGCTGTGAATCATTATTTGTACAGTTTTCATTTTCTTATTGATTTTTTGTCCATGCAGGGAAAGAAAATTAAAGTTCTTACCATGTCACTGTCCTCTGCTTTGACCTTCAGTTTGTCAGGAATAAACTGAAAAAAAAAAAAAAAAAAAAAAAAAAAAAAAAATTT